TGGGTAGGCTTGGCCAACTCAAGATCACTCAGATCGATGGGCGCTTCGCCATAGCTGTTACAATGTAATAAGGGTTAACCGGAGGGGCAGTTTCTGTAAGCAGGTCAACAAAGATGAGGCTAGAAACAACACCAGAATGTTTCCTTCCTGCCTTCCTTACAGGATTAGCCCTGTAAAGTGGGGAAAAAACAAAAGGAGATTTATTCCAACAATCGGTTCTCCGAACTGCTTAGAAAGTTAACAAACGGTTCTCCCGAATAGGTGCAAAATGGCTGAATCCCACCACTGATGTGACCACAATATGGCTCCTCAGCAACCCATTTGGAGTTTTGACTGTTGCTGTGTCCCATGGTTATGTGGTCACAATTTGTGACCGTCCCTGCCAGCTTGCCACAAACATAGTCAATAGCAGGGGTGTCAAACCCGCGGCATCACAGTGGCTTCACATGACGTATCATGTCTTTTTCCCCCTTCGCTAAACTGGGCGTGGGTATGGCCAGCGCATGACGTGTCTGGCCCGTGGGCTGCGAGTTGACAGCCTTGGTCAATAGGAAAGGCTTGAGGTCCTCATTTAATGATCCATAGTGATTTGCTTAATGACAGTAACCTGGGATTGCCAGAACTGCTGCTGCAGTTATGTGATATCACGTTTTATGATTGCATTGTTTAGCAATCCCAATCCCAATTACCATTGTTTAAGCAAGGACAACCTGCAGTTCATTTTAATCAGTCCACTATCATAGAAAATATTTTAACAAGAGAACTGAGAAAATATCTACAGACCACTCACATCCTGAACATAAACCATTTCAACTCCTCCGCTTGGGATGCAGCTACAGAGCATTGCATGCCAAAACAATTAGACACAGTTCCCCGCCTCCCTTGTGGAATCAATCTGCTGAACACCTAATCCCCAGAGTTTTGTCTTATGTCTAAAGATAGTTAGACATTTAGATCTAAGGATAGTATGGCTGTATTACTATTCTTCTTATCTTTCCTACTACCTTATTGCTATGTTATGATTATATTACTTTGTTTGCATGTAACACTGAGAGCTTATGCACCGAAGAAAAATTCCTTGGATGTCCAATCACAGTTGGCCAATAAAGTATTCTATCTATCTATTTCAAAGTCTCTGGATTTTTCACTACTAACAAAGACTTGCCATCTTTTAGTTGGCCACAGGAGGGCTCCTGTGTGTTGTCTCATTTCTAAAACCTTGTCCATCGTTTGCTACTTACCTGGTATTAGATTCCCAGGTGATTGTGAAGACAGTGTGAGTAAATGTAGAGAGAAGCCAAGTTTGCTGTTCATTTTTGTAGTGATACGAAATCCCAGTCCATAAAAATGACTCACTCCTCTCCTTATCTGTAAACATACAATAATTTTTCTGTTCTAAATGAGGAAAGTAATTATATGCAATCTAGATTAGGATGTTAGTTTAAACATGTAAAAATGTTAATTTTTCCACTTCTGTGCATGTATATCCATGATTGAGACTTCCCCATACAAATGTAGGGCTACCAGATCTAGGCTGCAAAAGCCTGAGTGACCACTGGATGGCAATGAAGAGATGACATTTTCTGTACTTCGTATCAATAGTAATGACAATGATGTTGATCATAATACCACCTTTGCCCGTAGTTTTCTTCCTAATTTCCTGAGCCATGGTGGCGCAGTAGTTAAAATGCAGTACTGCAGGCTACTTCTGCTGACTGCTGGTTGACTGCAATTTGGCAGTTCNGGTGGGGAAAACTGGGAAGCTTTCAGATTCAGGCTTTCCCAGTTGTGCCAACATGGCTCTCTTAATAAATTGGAACTTTGAGCAATACTTTGCCTTGGACTCTGATTTACTGTTGGATGCTATTTGCAACCCTGACACTAGGAGCAGCCCAAGTCTCCCAGATAACTACAAAATTCTGCATGCAATTTGTATGTATGTGTGTGAGAGAATTTGTTCATAATATGTATTATGGGGAAAGACCTTAGTGCATAACATTCACTTTTTCAAACAGCCTGAGGAGGTGTGAGGAAGGAAGAACCATACCTGACTAAGATTTGGCAATCCAGGTGCATCTTTCGGCAGAGGTCATGTTGAAGTGAACTTCAGGATGACCTCATAGTCCAGGGAACAACTATCTGCCAGATGCAGGGAGCTTATGGCCCGCCAGATGTTGTTGAACTATAATTCCCAGCATTTCCCATAATTTACCAAGCTGCCTAGGGCTGTTGGGAGTTGTATTTCATCAACATCTAGAAGACCCCAGGTTTCTTGCTTAACTTAGCTAAGTGATGAAGAATACCACAGTGATTTAATGCTGAGTCCACAATTATAGATCTAATATGTGAACACACAGAGGTTTTGGAAGAAAGCTAGACTATAATTTGGGGAAGGGCTGAAGCTCTGGGGAATAACATTTCCAGCAGGTTCAATAATTGGACACGTGACCCAGAGGACAGTAATATGGATGGATGAAAAGGCATTGCTGCTAATAGGAGCCAATGATCCTAGGAAAATTACCCGGGCAGTAAGCAAAGCCATTGACAGTAAATTATAATTTAGACAGAAGATGCCTAAAAGTCTCCAGTTTCATGAAGGGTCCAAAATCAATGCTTGCTTTGGGGCTTAGACTTATGAATTACTTTAGCTGTCCAGGGCATCTTCTGAAATCTTCTTTCAGTACCAGAACTTGGGGTCAAATGGGAGACATAAAGGATTATACAGGGAATCCCCAGAGATTGCCATTCCCAAGGACTGTCTTTAAGTCGAATTTGTATGTAAACTGTACAAAATAAATAGCAAGGTACAATGAACTTAAACCATTGTGTATATAACTTGAATTATTACATGTTTATCTCAGATTTTTGTTACAATAGACTCAATTCTTAACTATGGGTCATCCTTAAATCACATTCTTAATCTGCGGGCTTGAATCTTAAGGTCACATTTCTCTTTGTATAGCCAATATGAGGAGCAAGAGTTTTAAACTCTGGAAACTGGCACATGTTGGGCCCCATCATGTATACATTTCTTGAAACCGCCTAACCCCATGATGGTGAACCTATGGCATGTGTGCCAAAGCCCTCTCTGCTTGCATGCGCGCTGTCACTCCAAGTCAGAGCTCTGCGACATTTCTTTTGTGAGCTTCTGTTTCCCTACAAACGATGAAACAGAAGTTCACAAAAGAAAAAGATCTTACCTCTTACCATGCTGCCAGTGTTGGGATGCCTGGCCTCCCGCCAGCCAGCTGGTCTTCAGGTCTCTGCTGCACATGCGCCCGCACATGCATGTGTTTACCTGCACCTTTCTGTGTGGGCATGTGTGCACAGTTTGGGCACTCAGTGTCTAAAAGGTTTGCCATCCCTGGCCTAACCTATTTACATTATCTATCTATCTATCTATCTATCTATCTATCTATCTATCTATCTATCTATCTATCTATCTATCTATCTATC